CGCTGGCGTTTGCCTCCATGCGGCGAGGCCATGATCTCTCCTTCACTATGGGATCGCAAGTTCTGCGGTTGCCCGCGGGGGAGGGTCTGATTTTCAACTTCCAGTTTGGCAAGACCCTCCGGGACTCTGTTGATGCCGTGGTCGTGCATCCGGACGTCGCTTGCCCGTCTATTTGTGCGGTGCGCAATGTTACGGCCTACATCAGTGCGGCGGAGCGTATTGGCTGGGATTTGTCCCAAGGGCATCTGTTTCCTATCGTTCTGCTGGATGGAACTCGGGGCTGCGCTCCGCTTACGGCGGTTTAGGTGACGGCTGCCCTACAAGGGCATTTGCGAGCGGCGGGACTGCCGCACCGCTACACTATGCACTCGTTCCGCGTCGGAGGTTCTCTAGCGCAGTCGCTAGACGGAACGGCGATGGACGCTATCATGAAAATTGCCGGGTGGCGTACGGAGAGTGTAGCGAAGCGATATGTTGGCGCCACTACTAGTGTGGGGGCAACGGGTTCCAAGAGGACCCGTAGCGAGCTGTACGCAGACTCAAACGTGTTGCCGTTGTCGGCTGACTTTACATGCGATTTCTCTGCGTGTGCTCGCCGCGAAAAATAAAGAAAGTTTGGGTGGGCGAGACCTAGCTTAGAGGCGTGAGTGGTCAATAACTAAGATGTGACAGATCGGATAATTAACAAGAAAGTAATGGGCGGGACCACAGGCCGGCGCAGGAGGCCTCACCCAACCAAATCCAATACTTACATCGAATGATCTGGGTAAGGGATAAGAATACAACAGGATCCGGCTGCGAGAGCCGCTTCAACCAGCCACTCGAAAGTATCAGTATGCCTCCTAATTTGAAGCAACTTTCGCTAGAAAGCACATTCAACAGGTCCATCGAAGGTGTGACTTTCGTAGATTCCATCGAGGACATTCGTGTAGAAGGATGCTTCAACCAGCCAATCGCCGCAGTCCGGTGGCCCAGTAGCTTGCAACGTTTGGCGTTTGGTACGTGCTTTGACCAGCCGTTGACCGGCTATCATTGGCCGGATGCATTGATCGCTCTGACGGCCGGTGATGCGTTCCAGCAGAACCTGCTAGACGTTATCTGGCCTGGTTAGCTGCAGTATCTCACCTTGGGGGGTGCGTGGGAACGGGGGGCTGAGGCTTCCTGTGGTACTCCCTGCCACGCTCAAGGTCCTACGGTTGGGGGGGAGTTTCAACAGCCCAATACAAGGCATGCAGTTGCCTGAGGGGCTGTAGGAGGTGTCGTTCGCCATAAAATTTAACCAGAAGGTTGATGCCGTTCATTGGCCCAGGAACTTGCATATAGTTGTGTTCCCGGATGATTTCGACGACATGGTTTCCGTCGAACGCGCTAAGTGGCCGTCCACGCTAGAAGCTTTCGAGTCTGGGTCAGGCTGCGGGTGGCGTGTAAGCGACACCACTTGGCCTACGAGCCTAAAGACGTTGGTGCTTGGGGGTAAGTTCAACACGAAGGTTTACACCTTGCAGTGGCCGCCTGGATTGGAGTCGCTTGCCTTCGGGGGATCATTCAATCAGTCGATCGACACTCTCGAGTCATGTTGGGCTCCTACCCTGAAGGAGTTGTCGTTTGGCAAACGCTTCCAACAACCACTGTCAGGCGTACGTTGGCCGAGAGCTATAGTCGAACTGGGGTTTGACGGGATGTCTACAGGTGACGGTTTTACGTGTGGTTGCATGTGGCCAAGGTCGCTGAAGAGGGTTCAGTTTAGAGATGCATCTTTGACTCGTTGAAAGGATAAACACTTGAAGCGCGCAGTACTATGCGGGGAAATGCCTGGTGGTGGCCAGCTCCATCCATACTTCGTGATGAACGATCGTGGTTTTGTAGACCAGGGCACTCGAGCTCGCTCTGGCACGGTGGGGTGAAGAGGTTTACGAATGGCGCCGCGTGCATGTTCCGACGCGGGGTAATCCCTGGTTTTCTTTGTGGGACTTCAGTCGTTCGTGTTGTGCCACGTTTGTTTCTCGCAGTTGTTTGGCGTTTTCAATCGAAGTATGGAACGACTTATTACCATCATCGGGTCCTCATGGGTTTTTCTCTCTCGCAGTTGTTTAGTGTTTTCAATCGAAGTATGGAACGACTTACTACCATCAGCGGGTCCTCCAAGGTCATTTTCTGCCACAATGGAAGTAACATCCTTGCGGCTGCCTGCTTCATTTACAGTGGTCGTTACCTGTTGCCATGTTCTCGTATACCGTGTATCGGCAAGAGCGTCCGCGGGTGTGTTTTCGGTGAGAGGCTTCAAGGTGACGACAACCGCGTACGTACATGACCATTTTTGCACGGCCTTCCCAGTCCAACTTGGTATGGCGACAGTACTCCCATTTTCGTCGTGAGAAGTATACGACACTTTTCATTGTACGTACGCAGAGTAATAAAATGTACACTTTCAGTATGGTTTTTCCGTACAACTACAACCATCCAAGGCTACACAGGAGGGGGTTAACACCGGTGTGTGTGTGGACAAGAAATATCCAATCCTTGTCGGCAGCTCCTGCGTACGGCAACGAACAGCACGTATTACAAGTAATTTAGCGTTCGATGTCCCTTGCAGGTACCAAAGCACGTGGTTCAGCCTTGTAGCCGGTCACGAGGAAAACTTGACCCACAGCTTCACGCACGAGGTGTTGCGACACGTCATTCCATGTACACTGTTCGTGGCTGCCAACCTCCGTGAGAGGTTGTGCCAGCGGACTCCCGCCTCTTCTTGCACGACGACGACGACAAGAGTGCCCAGGACAACAAAAGCAATCTTTGGGAAGATGTGGCGCATAGAACCCTCCGTTGACAAGGCCCCTCACGCATAAATATTTTCTACCACGAGCATTACCTTTTTTTTTTCTCGTTTTATCCAAAGAACACACCACACTTATTCCATTCGCCGTACACTGCGACACAACCCCAAACAATTACACACATGATCTACGTTATTACCAAAGTTGGGTGCACACGCTCAGCCTAGTTGAACTGCTGCGCAGCGTATCACCGTGCCCGCCGCAAAGTCTAAAAGGCCAACGGTGCTGTCGATGGACTCTGCGGTGACGCTTGGGGCGGCAGCAGCAATGGAATCAGCATGATGTACAAGTTGTTGTGGCCATGAACAAAAGCGGAGAGTCGAGTTATTCGCTGTTGGTACGTACACCAAGGCTGTAAACTGGGACCGGGGTGGCAACTCACGGGCGCTAACCCCGATACCCCTTCGCTAGGGGGGACGCGACCCCGACCATAATGCCATCTGACTAGAGTAGCGTTTCCGGCTACCTGCCCTTGGTAGCTGATGACCTTCCGCTTGAAATACGTGCTCTGGGATCTTTACACTTCGTATAGATACACATTCCTCCGTCAGTTATGCCTTTATGTTGCTAGGTGATGGATCATCGCCTTTCTTTGTCATGGGCGGTAAGCATAGCGCAGGTATGCATCCAGTTTACGCGAGGTTGAACGGTAAGGACAGGCGCCGCAGGTGAATGGCTTACGAGTACCAGCCATGCGCAGTGTTGCATCGCGTTACCCGCTGTGTGCCCCCGAGAAAGAGAGTGACTGCCGAGAGGCAGAAAATGCCGAGTGCCGAACCCAAAGTGTCCACAACCAGGAGTACGTACGCATACATCTAACAGAGGGAGTTTTGCAATTTCCACCGTCGTTACCCATAGGTACCCACTACCCATGGGTACCCATGGGTGCCCATGGGTATACCCATGGGTGCCCATGCGTACCCATGGGGCGTGGGTACCCATGGGTACCCATGGGTATTGCCCATGGGTTCCCATGGGTACCCAACCCATGGGTACCCACGGGTATACCCATGGGTACCCATGGGCACGAATAAGGATAATGTACATCACCCCAAAGATGGGTCATTTTTGTTGTCGGTGAATATCCATCTTGGTTCTTTATGAATGTGTTTCTCTTGTCCGCCCGCCTCAAAGTGATTCCGCAATACTCTCATGCAGCCAGGATGACTTGAGGAGGTAGAGGGCGCGTCGAGGTCAAAGTAGATCTTCTGTACCACAGCGACATTTTTCGGACATTGAACTTGTTGAGAGTGAGTGTGTTGAAGACGACCATCCGTTCTTCGGCGACCATCCGGGTGTCTCTAAATTTGCTATCAATTATTGTTTCTTTGTATTTTTCGGGGAATTATGGCCCAGAGTGTCTCTATCGGCTTGTCTTTCCTGCCGACGTGGGGGTTGGGAAGGTTCTCACATGTTCCTGCTGATCGGTGATCGGGACGACGGTTGGTTGATTCTCCTCTGATAGCGCCGGCAGGAGGATTGCCGGCCCCGAGAAGAGAGAGGTCCTCAAGAATGACAGTTCAGCGTAAATAACCATCATAGAGCACATTAAACGCACGATCAATGGTGACATGTGAAGTTCTGTGTCGATGTCAAATCGTGTTGTTGTATTTTTGGGTTCAAGACGGCTTGTTGTGCTGTTGGTCTATTGCTTGATGACGGCAACGGTTTGCCAAAGCTTTCATTTCCAGCAGACAATTATGACATTCTGTGGTTCAGTAGAGTACGGCAGTGTGGCCGCGGCCGCAGAAGACCGCTTTCATGTATTTCAAGTTTATTACGGAGCCAACACAGATCCTCCGCATGTTTGCCTCCAAACGAACGGTGTTGTGAATATCCCCTCCGACGGGGTTACTCCATATCTGAGGTCCTCGAGTGGTGGTCGGTACCGCTGTGCATGGGGGCACATAAACCTCATAGATTGACACAACGCAGTCCATGCCACTCTGCTTTGGGTATATGTCTTGGCAGCTCGAAGGGGATGAAGCCAATCTAAGAGCGGTCGAACCATGTGTTGAGGCGAAAGTATATTTATTGGCCGAGGTGCATTGTAGACCAGACATCAATCGACGACACCATCCATCACCTGCGCCCAATGCAGATAGCAGAGTCAACACTCATCCCCAACGTCGACAATAGAGAAGGTTATGTTCAGAAAGAAGGTCAAGCGTCCGGTAATATTTTCGTTCACTTCAGCCTCAGCGTTACCGGGAAAGGCACCAACTGCTGTGCATTTCTCGCTATCGAGAACTGTCCGCAGGCACCGACACCGTCCGAACACAACATACCACACGAAGTAACGTACGGAATGTATATATTGTTTGTAGACAGACAACTACAGTGCTCACTCTGTCTAAATTGTACCATGGAAATCAAGGTTCCATCCGAGATCTACGATCTTGTCCCTAACGCTACGGACTTAAGTTCAAGAGATCTACAGTACGTAGGGTATAGACTGTAGACCGATCGCCAATGTCAACACTAAGCCCAAGGACGGGAACGCCAAATGCATGCGTTCGGCGAAAATGCCACCGGATATGACAACCACACAGTACGAGTGAATTCTTGAGGACAACATGAAGACGCGTTTTCCCGGAGTGAATACGGCACGACTTCGTGCCGCCGACGGCAACGGAGAGGTGTCCCGACGCGAATACCTATCTCGAGTCAACCTCAGCGACGGTAGCCTCTACTATCATTCTGTTCTATCTGTTCACATACACGTAGCGAAAGATGGGTATTCGGAACGTCCTGTTACACGTACATCTAAGGCAGGATACAGAGTGAGTTTCAAGCCGGAAGTCAACGAACACCAGTTCGTGAACACCGCATTGCATTTCACCTCGAGACCTTTACAACATACTTCATTACACGTACTTGTTTCAATAGAACGGATACGATACGCAAGTGCGCCCGCACCCACGCACCCACCCCTGTCTGCATCCAACGGCTCGGGCTGAGAGTCCGCGAGCGAAACACGTTCACAGGAACGGCAGGCAACATTGTCCAACATCATTTAGTACTCGCCCCCGCTGTCCTCGCTGTCCTTGGTGTCGTCGTCGTAGGTGTAGTCGTAGCTGAAGTCGTTGCCCGGCTCAGCCATGCCACACCTCTGAAGGCACTGCTGGCGAGCCGCCGCTGGTGCATCGGGGAGTGACTCGATCAGCTTCTGGAGAGCGGGCTCTTCGAAGTTTAGCGAAGCCTGTGGGTGCATCACAATGACGACAATTGAAGCCCGGTCAAGATTCTGTGGAAGGGTGATTCGAGGAATACCACATACCCTGTACTATGTATTACCGAGTGATTGAGACATGCTTTCATGAACGTTGCAACCAAGGATTTGAAGCAGAGTGCAAAGGCTGCAACATACTATTGCTGAGAGGAACCGAGCACGCACCTGGATGGCCTCCGTCGGCAGCTCGAAGAAGCGAGTCGTGATCGTAACGGCACCGGGGTCGTCGTTGTTCAGCGCGGCCAGGAACGTCGCCGGCTCGCAGTCAAGGTTTTGCTGGTAGTGGATTAGCCCCTGAGGGAAGAAAGCCACGTCCCCCTGGGCAAGGTCATTGACGACGGCCCCCTCGCCACCGTTCTCCTCTACGAACGCCACCCGGACTTGCTCGCCCTTGATCACGTACAACATCTGTGAATGAACGGAGTGTTATGTCGGGGGATGGGGGCGAGGTTGAGGCTCGTATATCTTTGAGGTGAACTTCGTCCGCAGAGCGTCATACATACGTAAGTGTGGCATCACTGTGTTCATGGCTACGGTCATGATCTGCAGCTTCCGGCAACACATCGTCGTAGCCACAAACTCAACGTCAATTTACTTCAGGTGAAGATCGTGGTTGACTTCGCCAGCTTGTGTTCAACCGTTCACGCTTATCGCTATTACTTTCACGGCACAGGTGATCAACTGTCCATTGCGGTCACCTCGTGACCGCCTACATGTTTCCGGCCGTGGCTAGATGGGTAGCCTTCCCAAAGAAATAACCTATCGTGGCGACAACTTGCAGCACCACCAGTGCTAGCGAGGCACTGAAAATGGTAACATTTTCCCGAACCACAAACAAATACACAAGGCACCGATGCACCAACAGCAAAAAGAAAAACACCACGAAAACGACATAATAGCTTCGACATTTCTTTCTCTCGCGGCAGGTAGTCTTTTCTCGTGCTTCCCTCTCAGGGGCACGCAGGAGGCTCGTCGGCACATTAACGCTCATGCGTGGAGCTCGGCAGGCTTCCCTGGGGCGTGTGGTTGACGGTCAAAGTCACACAGACTGGCTCTATTCCCCCGGGACGCGTTCCGCGCAGACAAGGCCTGGCGAACCAATTCTGAAACCCATCAAAAACGACAGAACGGAAAATGGCCCCCACGCACTTTTCATACAGGTTTATCCGGCTAGGGCAGGGTTCTCGCAGCCAACAACACCTACCCGGATAAACCTGATCATGCATACACCCCCACAATGAATCCCCATTCATGTTGCTTGTTCAAAGCTGGCGCCATCACCTCGGTTTGTGGTATTTTGGGCTGAAAATCAGTTGTCCGGTTTAGCCTTAGACTATTCCAATCTCCCACAATCCTGGCAGTTTTGTTGAACCGCCCATGGGACACCCATGGGTCACCCATGGGCACTTCATGGGCCACCCATCGGTGGCCCATGGGCAGGCGGCCCATGAAGTGCCCATCGTGGGCACTTCAACCAAGAACTTCGCCACCGGCATATCAACCTACAGTAAAACTTAGCCACCAGCGCCAACCTATGTAGCACGTTTCGTGTGGGCTTGGGGTAGGGGGTAGGGTTAGGGTTGTTAGCCGCTATAGTGCCCGTTCCAAAGCAGACAAACTATTGTTTAGTAGTACGCTGGTTTTGAAGGACTCTCATTGGCCGCCAATGGGCCGCCCATGGGCTGCCCACGCGCTACTCATGGGCACGCTCATGATGGCACGGGCATGGCCATGGGTGACCCATGGGCTCGCTGGTGTAGACAAGTCTGAGCGCATGCACCCACAGTGTTATCAGTTTGCGTTTATTTGTTTGCCGATTCAACATTCTGTTGTTCTCATTGGAAATCTGCCATCACAAAAATCATTCGTAAAAGAATGTATGTTTGGGTCTTCCTGGTACGTTCGAGCTGGCTCCAATGTAGAACACGTGCCGGCTTGCTAGCGTTAGGCATTTGCCCATTAAAAATAACACACAGCCTATTTCCGGCAATACGCATGTGGTCTTCTTGCGTCGCCCGCGGGAAGCTTGACACCCACGTCTCCAGAAGGGAGATCTACAATATGTAATAGTCTATGGTCTACCAAGATTGATTGTGCTCGATACCTCCAGACTGTTCTTACACATGAGTGTAGGTGTAGTATACAAGATCAATCTGTTGCAATATCTTTTGACGTAAGATGGAGAATGAGACCTTTAGTCTAACCCAAAACCGAGAATGAGAGGAGTTTCACAAGAATTACATAGCGCTACAGCAGTACAGCACGGCAGCGGATTGGGAAACAACCGTCCATTGAACGCTGAAGGCTCGTTCACCTCCGTGGCACGCGGGTGGATGTGAGGCAGATTGATGGCGCATGGGTCGAGGTTCACAAGGGCCATCGAGATGCCTTGTCCGTCCAGAGCCGGCAGCTGGTTCACATTGACGAAACGGATCTGGAAGCCGTCCACCAGTGCATCGGGCTCAGGACCGCCGAGGCTGAACACGAAGTCCTCGGGGTTGAACAAGGTGATTTGTTGCTGAACGCGCGAAGGGGGAACACGAAGGGCAGCATCGAAATCAGGGGGGCGTTGTCGAGCCATCTACAGCACTGAGGGAGTAAAAGCATGTCGTGGCGAGTCGAGAACTCATGAGCTGGTCCATACAGCAAAATTGTAACCCCAAAATTGTAGCAACGAATCGCCGGACCAAGCTCTCGGGCTCGGGCCGATGTTTCGCACGCTGCATCATGCGCACTCCGGATGTGCCGGAGTCCTGCTCTACAGCAGCGCGCAGCCGAGCACCGGACCACAAACTTCGTCTGCGCTGCTCGCTACAGTAGCTACAGCCATAGTACCGCAGTAGAACATGACTGTATGTAAAGCGCCTCTCTCGTTCTTTCATGACTTTATCTGTACCTGCGCAGTGACGACGCCGGACGCCTGCACCGTAGACGACATGAGCCCAGCGGCGATGACAAATCCAGCAGCAGCGCAGAAGGTCTTCATGTTAATCGCGAATGGGGAGCTGGCGAAGGGTACGTTTGATGGAGAGGAGAGGAAGAGAGAGGAGCAGACCTGAGGTGGTTTGGTGTGTGTGTGGTGTGGTTGGGCGAGGAGGTGTGAGAGGGGTGCGCGGGTTCGACGGCGCAATGTGAAAAGGCTGCCGGCATCAAAGATCTGGGTTATTTTTTTCCGAATGAATGTTCTTCTCTGTCGGCGTTCGGGACGTCGGTGCGTTGTTCATCCGCGCCTCTCGGAAAAAATTGCGGGCAATTGCCGCCGCGAAAAAGCTCACCTACACTAACCCTAACACTAACCCTTAGCTTAGCTAATCTAGGGTTACCTGGCATAGAGTGCAGAGAGGCGAGCGGAGTGGCCTAGACTATCTGTCGTTGACTTTTATTGGCTTGCGGACCCTTTGGGCCCATTTTTGTTTTCGTATACCTTTTTTTGGGTAAGTTTGCCTGTGACCAGGGGAATCGACCCCGTCAAGTGTTAGACAATACAGTCGTACGGACAGAAGAAGGAAAAAACTATTACTAGGCAGAGAGAACGAAACGGTTTCAAATGTGAAGATAACAACAACAGCAACAACACATGTATGTACATGCTGAAGCCGTGACGCCATGACTACGCGGCGCCAGCGGGGGACCTACACGCGGAAAACAGGGAGTAAATAAAAGGAAGGTTTGTTCGTCGAAGCAGATAGAATAAACTGGTGTTTATTTTGTAACAGTCGAATTAGAATTTGGCTTCATTTTCTACCGGAAACCCAGGGTCACGGTGTTTGGAATTATTAGTCTATAGTTGGGGGTGTCATTCCGTGATCGAGTCCACGCAGGGGCTGTAGCAAAGTCGGGTAACGTGTGACAGCTACAGAGCGTGTGAAGCAACGGAAGGACAGCAGCAGCCGCCTAACGCAGTAGCGGCGGCAGTTTAGAAAAGGGCGGGACGGGACACGGCGCAAGCATTGGGGAAGCGACCAGCACGCGACTCTCCATATAAAGGTGTGTACTCGTGTCCAACATCCATCGTGTCGGCCGTGTTCCTATTCGCGTCCCGCTACTCTTGTGACCTCACCGCTGCGTGCATTTAGCACGAGGGGGGAGGGTGCAGTAAGATAAGCGGCGGCAAGCCACCGCAGTCTCGCTCGCCGCGCCGCTCAGATAGGTCCCTTCCCAAACATGGGATGCGGTTCATCCCCAACCGAGACGTACTCTCGCTGAAGAAAAAAAATGCGGTTCGTCCCAACCGAGACGTACTCTCGCTGAAGAAAAAAAAAATAGATAAGCGGCGGCAAGCCACCGCAGTCTCGCTCGCCGCGCCGCTCAGATAGATCCCTTCCCAAACATGGGATGCGGTTCATCCCAACCGAGACGTACTCTCGCTGAAGAAAAAAAATGCGGTTCGTCCCAACCGAGACGCACTCTCGCTGAAGAAAAAAAATTCAACGGCAAAAAGAAAGAGCGGGGCCTGTTGTATGGTCGCACGCTGACTTGTCGCGGTTGATAGCAGCCATTGTACTGCACGGGGTGGAGGAACCCTGCGGCATCGGACATAACCAATCGACCCGCGGCAGTAGGGCATGATGCTGTCACGAGTATGCACATGAGGCAGGTGCCTTGTTTTCTGTTTCCCCCGGCTTACTAGGGACTACTTGCCGGTACAATCTTGTCTGTGCCGCGCACAGAGGGGCATATAGCTGAAGGAATCGACGATAATATGCCCACTCACGTAAGCAATCGTCTCCACGGATGGTATCGACAAGTCCCCACTGATGGTATCGACAAGTCCCATGGCATACAAAGCGGCCGCATACGTAATCGGAAAGTGCATTCAACAGCATTCACGGGAACGGATAAAAGCAAAAACACATGCATGCGAGAGAAAGACTCAAAGAAAAAGACTGAAAAAACAAAGAAGACGAGAAAAAAAACGAGACAGCGAACTACGTGCTGTATGCATAAGGAAAAAGAAGATGAGAAAAAAATAGGGGGGGGAGGTGAAAGTGACACGCGAGGTTCGAACTCGCGAGGAACGTCAGGTAGCGGTTCCATGTTAGTGCATCACGGTCTCGAGGGGCATCACGTCAGGGGCATCACGTCAAATTTATTGCCGCTGTGACACAAACCTTCTATAAGAATACGTCACGTCCATCGACGATTAGGCGACCAAAAACGCCCGGACAGCAATTGATGCATGCCAAAAACTCGTCAACCTGCCGTAGGATTGTCTATGCGGAAGTGATCTCAATGAAAAAAAAAAAAAACAAGGACACGCACCAGCACGGGACGCGCCAATAGTGGAAGCACTCGTCCGTGCTGTTGGCGAGTGGAAGTTAACCGATCTCAACGCAACGAAACACGAAGTCATACATGTATCAGCACGGGATGCGCCAATGAGTGGAAGCACCCGCGCTGTTGGCGAGTAGAGTTAACCGAATTCAATGCAGCGGTAGAAAAATACCACAAATCATGCATCAGTACGGGACGCGCCAATGAGTGGAAGCACCCGTGGTGCATATGTGATGTCAGCCTCAGCACGGGACGCGCCAATGAGTGGAAGCACTCGTGCTGTTGGTGAGTAGAGTTAACCGATCTCAAAAAGAAAGAACAAAACGCCGTACATGTATCAGCACGGGACGCGCCAATGAGTGGAAGCACCCGCGCTGTTGGCGAGTAGAATTAACCGAATTCAACGCAGCGGTAGGAAATACCACAAATCATGCATCAGTACGGGACGCGCCAATGAGTGGAAGCACCCGTGCTGCATATGTGTTGTCAGCCTCAGCACGGGACGCGCCAACGAGTGGAAGCACTCGTGCTGTTGGCGAGTAGAGTTAACCGATCTCAAAAAGAAAGAACAAAACGCCGTACACGTATCAGCACGGGACGCGCCAATGAGTGGAAGCACCCGCGCTGTTGGCGAGTAGAGTTAACCGAATTCAACGCATCGAAAACGAAGTCGTACACGTATCAGTACGGGACGCGCCAATGAGTGCTGTTGGCGAGTAGAGTTAACCGATCTCAAAAAGAAAGAACAAAACGCCGTACACGTATCAGCACGGGACGCGCCAATGAGTGGACGCACCCGTGCTGTTGGCGAGTAGAATTAACCGATCTCCACGCATCGAAAACGAAGTCGTACACGTATCAGTACGGGACGCGTCAATGAGTGGAAGCACCCGTGCTGCATATGTGTTGTCAGTTTCAGCAAGGGACGCGCCAATTGAGTGCTGTTGGCGAGTAGAAGTTAACCGATCTCAAAAAGAAAGAACAAAAACGCCGTACACGTATCAGTACGGGACGCGCCAATGAGTGGACGCACCCGTGCTGTTGGCGAGTAGAATTAACCGATCTCCACGCATCGAAAACGAAGTCATACACGTATCAGTACGGGACGCGTCAATGAGTGGAAGCACCCGTGCTCATATGTGTTGTCAGTTTCAGCAAGGGACGCGCCAATGAGTGGAAGCACCCGCGCTGCGTACAAGTATCAGTACGGGTCGCGCCAATGAGTGGAAGCACCCGTGCTGCATATGTGCTGTCAGTTTCAGCGAGGGACGCGCCAATGAGTGGAAGCACCCGCGCTGTTGGCAAGTGGAGTTCACCGTATCCAACGCATCGAAAAAAATAGAAAAACACGTATCAGCACGGGACGCGCCAATGAGTGGAAGCACCCGTGCCGATGGCGAACCGGGGTTCACCGAATCCAAGAAAATATATGTATAAAAAAAAAAAAAAGAGAAACCATCGCTAGTGTTCCAAAGAGAGAAATATTCGGGATTGGTCGACGTCCGGTGACCGTAGCGTCAGCAGCAATAATCACTCCGTTCAATCCACAGGCGTCGAGAACGAACTAACGCGAGCTCGCGATATAACAACGCGTCGTTCTGGGCCCGACGAAAACCCACGTCAGATAGTTTCGCCCGAAGATAGGATTTGTAGACCATTCTAACTGCAGATCCAGGCGCGCGATCGACTACGCCCACGATGAAGAGGAAAAGAAGTGTTCCCGCAACGCCGCCCTGACGCTCGCCCGCCGCCTGCCGCCGGTCCGCTGCTTATACGACTCCAACCGCGACCAGATGCCGACACGGGCCTCCACGCGGAGCGGCAGGGCAGCGGGTGGGCAAGCAGGGCGAGGTCGGGCGGCGACACCTTCGACACCACGCACGAGGAGGTCTACCGCGCGATCGGTGGCGAGCTCGACGGCTCGCCCCTCGACGCGCAGCGGATCACGTACTCCCGCGAGGCGTCGAGCGGTATCCTCCTCGCGAGCGCCAGGGACAGGCACCCGCGGCGACCCCCCCGCTGATGAGACTGAGCTCGCTTCTCTCCGCGGGCTTGGTGGACGGCCTGAGGGAGGAGCTGCAGCGGAAGCGCGATGAGGCTGCCGGCGATCGCCAGCAGCTTCAAGCAACGATCGACGACCTGATCGCCACCCAAGCAGCAGGACCTGGCCTTCCGGGGGGGGGGGTGCAACTGGTGGGCACAACCGCCCCACCATCGGCCTCTCGGGCCCCCGCTACACCCAGCGCCGAGGCGGCTAAGGCTACGGCAAAGGATAGAGCGCGGATGTGGGGGGACCTCCGCCGGGTAAAAGCGTGGCTCATCCTGGGGTGGCCTCCGGCAGTTTCAAAACTGTCGCAGATGGAGTGGCAATCCTTGCTTCGCAAAGGCGTCCTGGTGACAGAGAAAGTGGCGGCATCGCTCGACACGCTCGTGGTTACTGCTTCGCCTTCAACTCGTCGTCCGGTTGCCATGATCGTAACTGCCCACACATCCACGCCCAGAACCCTTCCCACGCTAGGCGCGGAGCGTCCGAAACTCCGGCAACCGGCGCGCGCGGCGTTGGCCACGGCAACGGGGGAGGGCGCGGAGGAGAGGCGCGCGCCGCTGGCGAGGGCGGCGCGAGACCCAAGGCCGCTGGCTTCTTCACCCACGGGAAAGACAAATAGGGGTGCGGGCTCTCCCGCGTAGCGGGGGGGCCTACCTCGGATGGCA